GTTCTGATTTTGTTCTGGACATCACTGCACGGGCTCAAGAACAAGGTAACACGTCAGTAAACACACAGCTGGTTCAAGCTCTATCATGCAAATAAGAAGCCATGCGTGAACACTAATCAAATGTTTCTCTGGACCAAAGCTCGTTTAAAATGGACCGAGGGAAAGTGGAAATCTGTTCTGTGGACAGATTAATCAAAATGTGAAGTTATTTTAGGAAACCACAAACACCATGTTTTTGTCCTCTATACTAAAAAGAGAAGATGGACTATCCAGCATGTTATCAGCACGGTTCAAAAGCCTGCTTCTCTCATGGTATGGGCGTGCATTAGCGCAAATAGCATGGGCAGCATACGCACCTGTAAAGATACAATAAATGCAAACAAGTCCATACATGTTTAACAACAAATGCTCCCATCCAGAAGAGCCAGGACTGTTGAACATCTATAGAATATAAATGTGTAAAAGAATTGAACATTCTTCTCCAAAACCTCCAGAAGCTGCTCTCCTCAGTTCCCACATGTTTACAGACTGAGGTCATAGAAAAAAATAACACAAATGATTCACAAACTGATGCGGTCTTCATCAAATTTAATAACACAAAGCTCAGGAGAACAGCCACATCCAGAGAGCCCGTACAAGTACAGATATTCACATCTTGTCCTGTCTGAACTTCTGAACCGTTCTGACTTCCTGAAATGAAAAAGTTAGTTTACAGAAACTCATCAGTGGGCTGGCACCATCATTCCACAAACTGTGATAAAGCATTATAATATTAAACATCATTTTAATATCATTCACAGCGACCTTTAAAGGTTATTAATAAGGTAAAATTAGATTGACAGCATCAGGAAACAGATCAATAAATAATATATTCCCCTCACACTGAAACAACTTTAAAGAGGTGTTTCTGTCGTAAAGTTCAAAATGACCTTATGTTAAATATATTCTCAACATTTATTGTTTCATTGTGTATTAAATATTATCAATTAGCAAATGACTGCATTTCACTCTTATTTACATTTTACGTTTTCAGAAATGAGGTTGTACAAAACATTTCTACACTTAAAATCAATTACAATCATAATAAAAAACTCCACGTTGCAGAAGTTCTCCTTCCACACTTGAGAGCTCAATTATAATTTGACAATCATCTTGTTTTATTGCTCAATAAGGTTGTGAACTTTGAACACGCAATCACCACGTGCCCTCTGAAAACTCTTGAAGCCAGAGATACAGTGAGAGAATGAAGGCAAGAATCAGTTAGACAATCAGATTAACTCATCTTCAGGCACACGCATTTTAAAGCAAGTGTTGAAAAAATGTCCCTTTGTTCAGATCTCATTGGTTTCATCCAGAAAAACAGAATACATTCTCAATTTGAAAACAAAACTGAATGGTATAGACCTTCTGTACAATCTTTACAATATAATAAAGGTTCATGTCTGATGCTCAGTCTCCACTGGAGTTCTGTCTTAATGAAATCTGTTCGACGCGGCACTATGCATGAGGAAAATATGCACAGGATGCACGATTTAAGCAGGAGGTAAAAACTACTAATGAAGTAGTGTTGCAGTTTATTTGCTTCTGTAACATTTAGAAATTGTTCTAAGAAAGATGGCTGTATAAAATAAACAGACAAGGTAAAGCATCGTTTCATATTTGGTCTTTTGTGAAATCCCTCACTGTACAAAACAGCAGCAGTTAAGGCAAATGACTGTTCCTCTCAGTTACAATTATACCTGAGCACTTAAAAATGTACAAATAAATCTCTACACTGTGTGACACAAACCTTGGTTTACAGAATATAACATAAAAAGCTACTCTTTTTTTTTTCCTTTTAAATATTAAAAGCTGGGGAGAAAAAGCAGAATTAGGAAAAAGTTGGGTGATACATTAAAAATGTTTCACGGGCCACTCAATCTGATGACCAGGAATATTTTTGCACCTAAGCATTACTTTTTATAAGGGCTCTTGCTAGGGATGCACAATATTATCTGAACGATATTGGCCGATATTAGCGATAAAGTTAAATATCAGACATTTCATCAAAAAAATTAACTGATAAAAAAAGACTTCAGTTTAAAGTTAATTTTTAATTTAAGAAACTGTCAAGTATATCTATTAATGCGCTATTACTTATGCACTTTTCACTTGTCGCTTGTGAACATGTTTAGATTTGTGAAAATTTACAAATGTGCACAGTTCGAGTGTTGTCACTGTGTTAGAGAGAATAAATGTCATGAATAAATTTGACATTAAACATAATCCAAGTTAAAGTGTTACATCATTTTCAGTCCCCTCTTTGGCATCTCCATATGGTAGCAGGCCAAACTGACAAAGACCAGGCAGAATAATGTATTTTAATTCCACAGCAGAGACATCTATGTAGTCTCTGTAAGTAGGTGGAAGAAAAAAATATATATATCGGTAAGGGTATTGGTTATTGACCAAATAAGTTTTAACATATGGGCATATCAGATATCAACCAAAAATCCAATATCGTGTATCCCTAGTTCTTGCATCAGTATTATTCAAATATTTTTGTCCAAAAAGTATATAGCCATTGGTTTGTGGTTTGGGATCACTTTGTTTTAAACCATGAAATTACTCAAAATATTTGTCCAAAGACGTATCAGATATGTGCCACTGACTAATGTGACCATTTACAGACAGCTTAATGGTGCCGACAGCATGCAGGCCCTTTCCAAAAAATTAGAATATCGTGAAAAAGTTGTTTAACTTCCATAATTCCACTCAAAAAGTTAATCTTTAATAGATGGTAGATTCAGGGCCCACAATTTAAACAACTTGAAGTATTTGTTTATTTTTACATAATTTAAGCTTCCAGCTCATGAAATCCACAAAAACAGGATTTCAAAAAATTAGAATACTGTAGAGAAATCAGCCCCAATGTTGCAGGGCATGAATGTTTTAAACGGAGTGTGACACACGAATCATCTACTAAACTCAAAGCACCTGCACAGGTTTCCCCATGGTGTCATTAAATTGCTTCAGTTTGGTTCAATATGGGGAAGACTGCAGACATAACTGTCCAGAAGACCATCATTGATACCCTCCACAGGATGGGTAAGCCACAAACGTTCATAGCTAAGGAGGCTGGCTGTTCACAGAGTGCTGTGTCCAAGCATATCAATGGAAAGTCTAGTGGAAGGGCAAAATGTGACAGGAGAAGATGCACCAGCAAAAGAGATGACCGTGGGCTTCAGAGAATTATCAAACAGAGAAGATTCCAGAATCTGTCAGAGATCCAGAAAGAGTGGAATGAGGCGGGAGCCACAACTTCAAAAACCACCACATTCAGACGCATCTGGGAGATGGACTACAACAGTCGGGTTCCTTGGTCCTCTTTTCTGATGAAAGTAAAGTTGTACCTTTCATTTGAAAATCAAGGTCCAAGGGTTTGGAGGAAGAAGGGTGAGGAACAGAACCATACTGCTAGTGGTCCAGTGTGAAATATTCACAGTCAGTCATGATTTGGGGTGCAATGTCCGGTGCAGGTGTTGGTAAACTCTGCTTTCTTAAATCCAAGGTCACCACAACAGTCTACCAGAATGTTTTAGAGGACTTCATGATTCCTTCTGCTGAGGATCTGTATGGAGATGCAGGTTTCATCTTCCAGCAGGACCTGGCCCCTGCCCATGCCACCAGAAGCACCAAAACCTGGTGCCCATGCCACAGTGCTTGACTGGCCAGCCAACTCACCAGACCTAAACCCCATTGAGAATCTATGAGGTATTCTCAAGAGGAAAATGAGGAGCACCAGACCAACAACAAAGAAGAGCTGACAGCATCAAGGAAATCTGGGCTTCCATAACTCCCAGTCAATGCCACAGGTTGATTGACTCAATGCCACGTCGCATCGAGGCAGTGATTAAGACAAAGGGATTCACAACCAAGTGTTGAAGATTGACATATTGTTTTGAAAGTATCATATTTTGATTGATTTGTTGTGATCCCAATTTTTTATTTTTCTGCAAAAACTGAGAAGTGTGGACTGATGTCTTCACAGTATTCAAATTTTTTGAAATCCGGTTTTCGTGGGTTTCATGAGATGGAAGCCCAAATTATGTAAAAATAAACAAATAAATACTTGAAATCATTTAAATTGTGGGCCCTGAATCTATCATCTATTAAAAGATTAACTTGCTGAATGGAATTATGGAAGTTAAACAACTTTTCCATGATATTCTAATTTTTTGGAAAGGGTCTGTACATGTGGTTAACTTCCCCACATAATGCACACGTCTCTCTTGTAAATGAGTCCCCGAGGCTCAGGGAGACTAGACTGTACAAATCTCCATTTCACTGAATGTTATGGACAATAAAGTTGAATTGATTGAATATATATACATTTGTAGTCAAGTTGAAAGAAGTGAATTTAAAGAATAATGTGACAGTTCCTTTCTTTTCTATTATTCTCCCTTGGTAGTGGCATGCCAAGTTGTGCTGACACTTCTTGAGATATTAATTAATTAATGCAAGTTAGTCTTGTTTTGAAGTGGTGGCTGCTAGAAGAAGGGTCAGACGAGGGAAAAGGACTAAAATAGATGGGGGGGGGGGGTCAAATACCTGAGAAAAATCAATTAATTGAATTAACATTTTTAATTGAATTCAAAATGTTTTTGCTTACATTGTCAATCTCTAGATAATTATTTAATGAAATTGTTAATTTTAACAAACAGCCTAAACAATGAAAATCTTTGCTAAGCAGTAAAACTGATGTCAGACAGCTGAGCCTGCTGTCTGTGTCTTCAGACAGGATCTGAAGGAAAGGTTTTGCTTGGTGGAGGTGGACTACACACAATCAAGGTGTATTACAGCGTGACCACGTTTGGATATGAAATGTACATTTACTGGTCAAAACTCTTAAAAAAAGGATAATTAACCTAAAAGAAAGTGAAATATATTGTCCTTAAGAAAACTGTTGATGGACTTCAGTGGCTGATGGTTGGTGTTTTTGTCCAATCATCCAACCCCATTACATTCACAACAAAAAAAAAATCTAAAGCCAAGTTCAAAAATGAACAACCACGACGACACAGCAAATCAAAGAAATGCATTGTTTTTGTGGACAATACAAAGTTTCATTCAAGTACTGCCATTTGATCTATAAGCCACTTTTCTCGGTTTCTTGACTGATGCTCTCTTTAACTTCCACAGGCAGCGTGTCAAAAAGATGGTCCTCCACAATAAGGCCGCTTTTGTGCAGAAGCCGGCAGTTCCCTAAATGAGCAGGCAGTCGGTCCAGACAGTTTCCTTTGAGCTCCAGATGAGCGAGTTGGACCAGCTGACCGACGGCGTCTGGCAGTGTGGTGAGCGCGTTGTGCCCCAGACAGAGCACCTTCAGCTTGACGCACCTGAAGAGAGGCTTCGGCAGCGCTTCCAGCTTGTTGGAGTTGATAGCAAGGTGCTGGAGGTTGTGAACGAGACCCACATCCGGTGGAAGCACTGTGATGGAGTTATGGCTCACATCCAGGTGTCTCAGTTTAGGAAGATGGAACAAGGCTGTGGGCAAAGACTCCAGCTTGTTGTGAGACAAGTGGAGGGCCTCCAGAGACTTGATCTGGCCGATGGACGAAGGGATTGTGATGATTTTGTTGTGCCACAGCTTAAGGCACGTCAGCCTCTTGACGTGCTGGAAGCTGATGATCTCCTCTATTGTTCTGATGTTGTTTGACTTCAAGTCAAGCTCCTGTAGGTTGATCAAGCTGAAAATAGCATGAGGGATCCTTTCTAGTTCACAGCTGAGCAGCTCCAATTCGATTAGGCTCGTCATTTTTTTCAGACTGTTTAGTACCAGCAGTTTTGTCCCATCATTGTGCACCACTAACCGGATCAGATGTGGTGAAAGATCCGTGATGTTCGTGGGTATTTTTGTTAAGTTGCTTTTCAGACATAAGGTCTTTAAATGTCTCAAATCTCGCATTGATTCCAGACCAATCATTTTGTTGTTTTCTGAGTTCAAGCCCCCGGTTAGGTTGAGCTCCCTCAGGCTGCGCAGCAGATAGACCCAAGGCGGGATCTCTGCAACATCTGTAAACTTGACATGAAGGCAGCGGAGATGATCGCGAAGGAAAGAAAAGCCAGTCTGCTCCACTTTGGCTGGACAGTGACACAGATGAAGCTCTTGCAAGCTTGTCATTTGGGAGACCTTTGCTGAAAACCTGACTTCGGGAATTAGCTCAAGTTTCAGCACTTCCAAGTCTGTGAGGTCAAACACTGCGTTTGGGAGACCAGACAGCATGAAGAGGTGCAGCTCCTGCTGGTCTTGTGCATTATGGGTGACAAGTTGCCTTAATTTTTCAAAGGTCCATTCGTGATTTAGGCTGATTTCTCTCAGCTTATTCTCACTGACCTCAGACAAGAAGACGCCAAAGCGCTTGGAGTAAAGCTGATCGTACTGGTCAACCATGTGTAAAAGGAACGCAAAATCATTTTTAACATCAGGAATGTCACTAAAGCTGCTCTCTTCCCTGACCTTCTCAAAAGAATACTCTTTCAGGGGCCTTCGAAACACCCAGAACAGAGAGTACAGACCTGTCATCCCATAGATCAGAATCAAAGCCACATAGGTGATGAGCAGCTTCTTTAGCATAAAAGCCATGTTGTGCGTACAAAAATACTTTTCGTAGCCTGTCAGTTGGGTTATGTCGGGCTCACAGATGTGCCTAAACTTTATTTCAGCCAAAAAGGTTGACGTGTAGAACAAGATAAAAATAAACTTGACGGTTTTGACAGAAGTTTGTGCTACATAGAGCTTGTAAATTAAATCACTGTCCTCCACATGAGCTCGGAATTTCCTCACTTTCTCAAACAGAGCTTTGGCCTGCTCCCCGTCCTTTTTATCCAGGATTGTCATGCTGCTCGGTGCTTCTGCAATGGGCTTGTCTGCAGAAAACTTGACCCCAAGCATGGGTGTAGATGGGTCATCATCTGTGCCTTTATCCTTCCCCTCTATAGACACCTGTTTTGGGGTTGAAGAGGTGCTGGTAAACCTTTGTTTGTTCTCCTCGGAGTCTTCACAAGCGGTTTCAGACAAAGCTTTTGTGGTCCAAGGAGACTCAAAGCACCTACCCAGGATAGAAACAAAGTGCTCTATCTTTGAACTAGTTTTGGGGTATTTAAACCAGAAATTGCTACTGACCATGAGAACAATGGTGTGGATGAGTGTGAGGTACGGAAAGTACTTGGAATACCATGGCAAAGCAACATGGTAACATATTTGGTTGATAAAGACATATTGCTGAAAGTCCAGATTGGTTTGAACACCTCTTGGTTTGGGTTGATTGGCATATTTCTCTGCGGCCAGAGCAGTCTGCTGTGTGGCGCTAAGCTCCTGAACAGCTTCACTGGGGAAGTCCTTATTCACTGGTGGGGTAGGAGTTACTACTGTGGCTGCAGTGGCACGAGCTGAAGTAGTTGCCTTCTCTGCATTCTGCTCAGCGAAAAAAGTAGATTTAGCCGCTGAAATCTCATCCGAGTCATCCATACACGGAAGGCAAGCTACCTGGTCCTTGGTGACCTGCATGGTCATCGCAAATATGGCCAGCATGAGCATCACCAAGCCCAGGTAGTCCATGAAGACGTCCCACCATGGCTTTAGGATGCGGTAAGTCGGCTGGATGTCATTCAAGGATGCAACCTCAGTGAGAGTAAACATCTCTGCAACAACAACAAAAAAAGAGGATTTTATTAGTAGTTACACCATTATCTTTACTTGTTATATAAAAAGTGAAATAATAACTATTTATAATTATTAATTTATTAGGATTTTCAAAGAAGTTTGGTGGCTACTGGTAATAAATCAGTGTGACTGCTTCCCTTATTATCAACTTTAGTACACAGGGATCACTCGCATATCGCGGGGGTTACATTCAAGAGACCCCCGCGGAAGGTGAAAATCTGCGAAGCAGCAACGTTATATTTATTTTACTATCTCTATAGACTTTATAAACCCTTCCCACACTCCTAGAAACATTTCCCAATCTCTTATAAACACTTTATATGCTCTTTAACACTATGGTGATGAAGATGATGACAATGAGATGAATGTACAATACACACAATATAAAAAACGGGTTTAAAAAAAACGCGATACAGTGAAGAAGAAGTGAACCACGATATAGCGAGGGACAACTGTATATAGTAGTATACACTATATATTTATAAGTGTGTGTGTCATAAACCAAAGATTATCAGATACGGTAATTAAGATCATCATTTCAGTCCATCACAGAGACACAAGCGAGACAAACAACCATTCACTCTCTCACTCACACCTAGGGACAATTTAGAGTTACCAGTCAGTCTAACATGCATGTTTTTGGTCTGTGGGAGGAAACCGGAGCACCTGGAGAAAACTCACGCATACACGGAGAGAACATGCAAACTCCACCTAGAAAGGTTCCCAAGCCAGGATTTGATCCGGCGACCTTCTGAGAGGCAACAGCTCTACCAGCTGAACCACCAAAATGACCTAATGCACAGTCTGATGTAAGAACTTGCTAAATCTGTCGTGTTGCGTGTTGAGGACAACTAAAAGCTGCTAATTTTAGCATTATATGTAAGAAAAAATGGAATGACAACCATTTCTGTTGGCTAATGTTACTAGTGGCGGCCATCTTGAACTGAGCCAACTCCAAATTAATCAGTTGTACACGTGCATCCATTACTTTCTGAAAGTTTATTTACAGTCCGTCCACTGGTTCATGACATTTTATGCTGATTCTACAACCAAACACAGATGGAGGCGGTTTTGCCTCCAGCAATGAGTTTCTTAAAAATAAAAAAATAAAGACTTTTGGCTCATTTTTAATGGAGAGGTCAAAAATAGAGCTATAATATTCATTCATTCATTCAACCTTTATTTAGACGGGTAGATCCCATTGAGCCTCGAGGACTCATTTACAAGAGAGACCTGATTTATATATACTTTCTACCATAAACTGGAGAGTCTTGATTAACTACAGCTAAACAAATTGTAAATGTGTAACAAGGGGCACTGCTGGAAATAAAGAGCGAGCAAGGTACACATCTTCATCAGAGTGTGACACTGAATCTACATTTTCTGTTGCAGGTCGTTTCTTTCAGTCTTGCTTCATATTCCATCAGTAGCACGGCATTGTGCTGAATCCTGATACATCACGATTCTGTTTTTAGACAAATAAAGATCCTCTGATGTAATCACCAATCTATTTTGCCCTGGAACTCATCCAAACTTTAGCCATGTGTTTTCTAGGAGTACATTCCAGTGGATAGTTTTAGTTATTATGGCACATTATGCATGGTTCGATTCCCACTTGTCTCAGCTTATCCTGCTGACTAGAACAAACCCAGGACCTGCAGCAGTTCAGGTAAAATGCCTTTTGATATTCCCCATGACTATTCTCTGAGGCAAACGACCTTCTTCAGCTCATTCCACTGCAGGCCAAAAATATGGTGAACACTATTTTGCAATACATTTTTAACCAGCTGACGAAACAAAGCACGCTTTGTTTTGCCCAAGTCTGTCTGCATTCATTTGTCTGTCGTATTAGCAAAATATCCACAAACCAGCGGATGGATTTTAACAAAACTCCCAGAAATTGTCTACAATTGTTTAACTTTTGGAGTTAACTCGTTCCAGGTTGGTCATCACAGCTAAGTGACCTTAGACAACATCAAAAATGCCTCAAACTCAGTCATGTTTATAGATTTTGAGTCAAAACTTGGCGAGGTAGTAGCTAAGAGTCATCCCCAACTTGTATCTCAAAATCTAACTGATCACACGGGGTCTGTTAGTAAACTTTTGCCATTTGGAGTCAACTCCGACGAGTGGTTCGTGAGATACTTTTTACTACAAAATGGAAAATTTCAGAACGTAATGATTGGATGTACAGATGATTCTGCTCAACCCAATTCAAGATGTCCGCCACAGCCAATCAGTCTTATAAAACACAAATATGTCTTTAATTTAGTCTAGTTTAAAAATAAACTGATACAAAACTAATCAGAACCACATTTAGCTGATTTTTAGAAAGCTTTTTGCTACATTTAGCAATTGTTTTGCTCTTTTTTTTTGACAACTCAAGTTTTAGCTTCTTCAGCTGATGTTCAGCCATCATCATTCATAATGCGTTTTTACAAAACTAAATGAAAAAGAAAAGCGCTAATTCTCATCTGTTTGGGCAACAGCTGGATGCGTGTAACTCATAATGTAAACCACAAACTACTAAAAAGTTACTAAGCACATTTTAAACAAAAATATTGTTTCCCCTTTCGCAGTATCAAGGATGATGCATGCTGACTCATGACCACAACCCTGAATAGATTAGGAGTCATCATAATTGCTCGCACAGGATCTTTCTGCTATGACAGCATGAAACATCTGATGTGTTCAAGACCTGACTTCAACCACCTGAGGACACGAAAATAGGATTAGTTAAGCAAAGCTGAATGTGTGGGTCTGTGTAATCTGGAGGAGCACTTCAGTCCATTTAATCCACATTGAAACTACAGAAACTCATTTTCTGTGAAAAAGATCTTAGCTGAAAAAGCTGAAATGGTGCTGTTAAAGCTTAAAAGTAGGAGAACACTAGCTAAGGGTGCATTCACACTAGCCCTGTTTAGTCCGCTTTAATCGAACTCTAGCTCGTTTTCCTAGATAGTCCGGTTCGTTTAGGGAGGTGTGAACGCGCCATCGAACTCTGTCACGGAACAAAAAGGCGAACTCTGGCCCGGGCTAAAACCTAGGTCTCGGTCCGGTAGAAGCGAACTCCAGCGCGGTTCGAGTGCAGTGTGAATGTAAACAGACCGGACCCACTCCGCAGGGTAAACAAACACGCATTTCTCTGACTTTATTTGGAGCCGTCAGCTGCCTTGTGTGAAAAACAATATTCTCCATGGTCTTCTGTCTCTTCTTCTGCTCATGCTAAGTCCATTTTTGAAAAATGACAAAATATAACTCCTAAAACTGCTAAAACTTGATGCCACTTCATTTTATTTTTATTTACAGAAGAAGAAGAAGAAGAAGACGTGTCTTCAGAGGTTTTTGTGTAATTTCTTTCAGTAGTTCTTGGTGCAGCGCCCCCAAAGGCGAGCGGGGGAACAGGTTGGTTCAACAGGTTGACTCGACTGCACAGTGCAGTGTGAATGCAAACGCACCAGCTCAAATGTAAACAAAATGTCATGAATATTGGTCCCGAACCGAACCGAGTCTACCGGACTATCTGGTGTGAAAACGACCTAAAAGGCCAAAACACCAACAAAATGGAAAAAGAAACAAAACACCAAATGTAGCAAAATGCTAAATAAAAGCCACTAAAAAAATAACAAGCAAAATGCTAACCAAAAACTAAAAATATATATTTTTAAAACAAGTAAAATTAGCAAAACAGTGGTTAGAAGCTTAAAGGAGAAACCTCTATTTAAAAAAAAGAACAGACAATAAAAGGGTAGCTAAAAATTTGCTATAGCTTTGCTGCATGTGAAAAGTGGCAAAAAGCTAGGTAGAAGCTAAAAGTTGCAAAAGGCTAGTAAAAGCAGTAGTAAGACAAACATACAAAAAGTATTCCAAAACAGATTTCAAAAGAGAACAATGCGTTTCCTTGAAGGTGAAATTAGAGTCAGGTAATCAATGGATGATGATCAGGTGTGAGTGGACACCCTGTTTGATTCAAAGAACAGGATCTATCAAAGTCTGATCTTCACAACATGTTTGTGGAAGTGGATTATGACAGGAACAAAGGAGATTTTTGAGGAGCTCTGAAAAAGAGTTGTTGATTCTCATCAGGCTGGAAAAGTTACAAAACCATCTCTAAAGAGTTTAGACTCCACCAGTCCACAACCAGACAGATTGTGTAGAAATGGAGGAAATTCAAGACCATTGTTACCCTCCCCAGGAGTAGTGGACCAACAAAGATCACTCCAAGATCAAGGAGTGGAATAGTACTCAAGGTCACAAAGGACCCCAGGGTAACTTCTAAGCCAATGGTTCCCAGCACTGGTCCTTGAGGAACACCATCCTACATGTTTTAGTTATTTCACTGCTCCAACACACCTGATTCAGTGATTTAATTACTTCAAGTCCTGTAGAAACCTGTTAATTTAATCACTCAGCTATTCAAATCAGGTGTGTCACAGCAGGGAAACTACATGTAGGATGGTGTTCCTCAAGGTAGGCCTGTCGTGATAAACAAATCAATTGATTGCATGATAAATTAAAATTATCAACCTCATTTTCATTTATCAGCTTTATCGTTTCTTCATGTCTCTTTCTACTGAAGACACTAGATGATAAAACGCTCAACTCCGGTGCTCTTCACTGACCCCTCGCTTTCTCTTTTCTCTTTAAAATCCATTTTAACGTCCAAACTCACGTTTTTGGATCGTTAAAAGCAGCTAAGCTGAGAAGCTAAGCTACGAGCTAAGCTAACAGGCCGACGTCGGGGAAAAAAACCTCTGTCTTGTCGATGCTCCAAAATTCACCGTTGAAACCTGTGCCTTCATCTAAAAAGTTGTTTTTCTCTGCAAAAAGAAGCTGAGAACTTGTTTACTGTTTTTTTTTTATTATTAAAAGCTTTGTGTGAAAAATGCTATGCTAAAGAGCTCAAACCACACCAAGCCTCCACCATTTTGAGAAACGAAGAGAGACAGTCCATGTAATCTCAAAAGGCCTCTCTC